TAGCTGGCGCTTTCATCTTAAATTAACCCATTCTTATTAATCTCTATGTTGCCATGCGGCCGTGGCATTACTGGTCTGTTGGCATCTTGTTGCTCCTTCAGCAGCAGCTGATGTCTCACGACTCCACCATTCTTCTCTGTATCTCTGCTTGAATCTCCTGACTGGCTGTAAGCTTTCTTGCCATAGGCCAAAACAGCTTTATTTATTATCCAATGGAAGCCACACATATTCACAGCATACAGAAAGACATCCCACAGCAAGAGACTGTGTTTTATTCTCTCTCTCTCTCTCTTACAGCTTTTACAGGGAATCCACTGAAATAACTTGCCCAGATCTAGTTAAAATAGTAAATAAGAACAACTTTAGGTGCCAGTATTTCTAAGATAAGAAAAAAAGACAACTTCAAGGTGATGTGTGCAGGACACACGGATGTGGTGATATTGTGTCCCCCAATACATTGTGCACTCTAATAAACGTATCTGGGGTCAGAGGACAGAACAGCTACTAGACAGACATAGAGGCCAGAAAATGATGGCACACACACCTTTAATCCTAGCATTCCAGAGGCAGAGATCCATCCAGATCTCTGTGAGTTCAAGCCACACTGGAAACAGCCAGGCATGGTGACTCATGCCTTTAATCCCAGGAAGTGATGGCAAAAAGCAGAAAGGTATATAAGTTGTGAGGACCAGGAACTAGAGCCTTGTTAAACTTTTAGCAGCAGTTCAGCTGAGATCCATTCGGATAAGGGCACAGAGGCTTTCAGTTTGAGGAAACGGGATCAACTAAGGAATTGTAAAGGTGGGGTGGCTGTGGCTTGTTCTGTTTCTTTGATCATTCAGCATTCACCCCAATACCCTGGGTTTGTTTTTATTAATAAGGCCTTTTAAGATTCATCTTACACACAGAAGAATTGGTGATCTGTATTCATGTTTTGAGAGCTTCTAATTGCCAGTGTCAAAAAAAACAAAGAAAAACAACAACAACAAAGTGAACCAGCTTGGGAGGAAAAGGAATATATCAGCTTAGGAGGAAAAGTGACTAAACCTCCAAATGGCAGAGAAGGAACTGAATTAATAAACCTTAGATAGTAAATCTTCCCTGGGTCCATCTCTTCTCTATGTGCCAACTTTGTGGCACCCACTGCACTGGGGCTTCTTCCCATGTGCAGAAGCACATCACTTGTGGTATCTGCTGACCTCATACTGACCATCTTTTAAGAGGAGCAGATTGTTTCTAATAGTTAAAAAAAAACAAAACAAAACAAAACAAAACAAGGACATAGAGATCTGAGCTGGTCACTTGTGATATGTGTAAGATGGTAATTCTCTTGGGAATTCTGGACTGCAGTAAGGGGTGAATGATTTCCCAGAATTCTCCTCTCCCTACTTCTGTTTCTTTATTCTTTTTTTCCCCCCATGTCTACCCCAGTTTGACCTCTTCTTATTGTCACCTCCCTTAGCTGCCAAGTTCTTTCTTGTTGGGTCTTAGAAGCCACATCAATTCATGCTTTACTTTGATCCCTGACTTGCTTTCATAGTGGAATACTTGTGGTATGAAGACTCCATTCCATATCCAATGTGGTTGAATACATTATTATGCTCATGTCATCTATTTCAGAGATGAGGGCAAGGCCAGGGCAGGTGAGGGTAGACATTTCTCCTTCCATCTTCACATGAGCATGTCAATGAGATCCTCACAGAGACCAACCAACAGCGCTTGTTCTGCTGGGGACCTCAGAGGTAGTACCACTTTAAGAGCCTGCTAACCTCTGGATGCCCTTTGTCAGAGCCAGAGAGTTTATGGACTTTCCCATGGACACTAACTTGGGGCTGGTTGGGGAGAGGGATACATGAAGGGAGCGCCAGGAACAAGAAGAAAGGTGATAGGAGTTTACAAAAAAATTCCAGCTCATCCCAGATTCCTCCCATCGCCTCTCCCCTTGGTTTTAAACTTTAATTTATTGAATCGCAAGTTGTTTTTGGACAGCTTCCATTCCACTCCTCTACTCATGTTCCAGCAAGCAAGGAACCACATCTCAGGCAGATAACTTGGAAGGATGAGAAAATGGAAATCGCTCCAAAGAGCTCTAGTCACCAGCGCCCTGTGGTTAGGCTTAGCCCAGTCCCGTAGGACAAGCAAGGTACTTCTCCCTTTTTTTACTGCCACATTAAAACTAAGGCAAAATACACAAAGGTTTAGCTTTAGATAAAGGTAGTGTTAGTCACAAGGGACACGTGTATCCATGTGTCAACTGTAGGGGCAGTCACGGCCTCTATATAAATGTACAGACCTGGAAATTGTTAATTTATGGTACAAAATTTAGAACAGGTGATGTATCAGCTCTCTGGGATGCTAGAATAAATAGTTGCAAGCAGGCCATCTTGAAACCACAGACATTCTATCCTAGCTCAAAGTGGGGGCAGGGCTAGAGTGCTTCCTTCTCGTTCCCCCTTCTCTCTCCCATCCCTTTATGCTCCAAAGGACTTTGCTTCTTCCAAACTACTTTTTGTTTTCTCTCACAGTCAGTACCTAGGTCTGCATCAAGTTTCCTTTCTGTTTTATAGGCAGTTTACTCCTCAAAAAATCCTTATTATTATTATTTTTTTAGGTTATACCTTCAATTTGTAATGTATAGATGGAATCATAATCAATTTCTCCTTGAAGCTCTGGCAGGTTCACGGCAGACATGTTGCCTTCTGTTCTCTTTAAGAAAAGAATATATTAACAGGCCAAGGGATGGGGCAGTAAGACCAGTAGACCCCATCCAGCATAAGACTTCTGGTCTGATACAGTTTCTCTGATGGGAGCTTTGGGTGGTGCCTCTTGTTAGTTGTGCCCCAAAGAACCTCCTGGCATTAACCTGTGATGCCATTTCTCTCCCACCAGCTGTCTCCAGCTAGGCTTACTGTGTAGCCTTTCATCTCTGTCCCACTGGTAGTGGCTTGTAGCATTGGTGGCTTTCCAACACACCTTCCCGCCACAGCATGTTCTCATCGGAAGAGACTTTGGAGTCAGAGCGGTCTGGTTTCTCAACTTTATCTCCCACTCCATAACTGCAGTGTGTGTGGCTTGTTGCCTACTCTCTCATAATCTCAGTTTTCTCATTGATAAGGTGGAGACGGTTAGCATAAAGCTATGCAGTTAATATGAAGTGTGTAGACCAGATACAGAAACAAAGAGTGATCCTGTGGTTGGCACATGGGAGTTGCTAAATATAGGAGAGATATTGTTAGTCTAAGAAGGCATTGTAATCTAGAAGCTTGATATTTATTTCAATGCTTCCTGCAACAATGAAGATTTGCTTCTAAAAGAGTTTTTAAGTGGTATTTAGAGGTCCCTAAACTCAACTATCACCCTGCATCACATACTCTTAGCTCCCTCTCACTAGGCCTTGATGGAGCTGTCTTGGTGACAGCCAACTCTTCCCTGTTCTTGTGGCCCCTTCTGAGTTCCATTTTGCTGAATTCTATGCAGACTCCAGGCTCTGCCTGAACTTTTCCAAGGCATGTACCAGAAACCTCACATGGATTTGAATATACGGCTGTTGAGATCCTTGTTTTGTCTTTGTGCGTGGACCAAAGCATCCAAAAGTGTCTTGAGTATTACAAGACAGTTAGACTAGATATGGAAACAAAAGTTTGATAGACGTTCTGAATTAGACTTCTGTGAAATCATGGCTAATTTTGTATGATGCTTAAACCATAACTGTCATTTTCAAGCAAATGAAAAAATAGTGTATGGCTTCAGGACTTGTGGCCTTTAAAGATAAGCCCAAACAAAGCCTTGTGCTAACTTGTTTCCATAAATGTGGGCCATAAGTGGTCAAGTGGGTAATACCAAACAGAATCTAATTTAAAAGGTTGGCTCTAGTAGCAGCTTACTTCAAATCACTACACACTACATCCCATGCCCCTTTGGCTTCTCGGATCTTCCTACCAAATGGAGAAAATCTACAGAAATAACAGATGCAATGCCCTAGAAGAAAAAGGCTGAAGATGCTTCATCTACATCTGCATTCTGAAGTGGAGAGCAAAGGTTTCTGAATGCAGTGCCTGCACGTGAGGACTGAGAGCTAAAGCAGGAGTGTTGCTGAGCTCTAAGGATGTCAGAACACCTGGAGCATTGCAGGGCCCTCTAGAGCTGATGCCCACACCCTCAGCCCAAGCTCCTATTTCATGGGTGTGGGGATCTCTGGAAGGGTGACCTGATAACTTGTTCTGGTTAGGTTCACATATTCCTGGATGAAACGGACACAAGTATCTCGAAGGACACAAGTGCTAGGAAGGAGACTTACAAAGAAGCTGATGGTTCCAATTATCTTTTCCATTTGAACTGCCTTCAGATTCCCCCTCACAACTCAAGAAATGTCATAGTAGTCCATCACTAATAGTTGGGGTTGTTGACTGACTCCCAAGTTCCAGCCTCCCAAATTGTTGTTAGAATGCAACCTTTATCATTAAAATAAAAGTATCCATTATTGAGCCCCCATTTCATGCCCAGCCCATGTATATATAGAAATTACCAAGATATCATCTGTTACTTCTGGTAAGGTAAGAATAATATTTTGAGGTAGAGAAGAAGGAGACAGAGAGTTTGTACCAGTAGCCTTGGTGTATATTTTCTCTGTGAGGGGAAACATATGAAGGAATAATAGCAATGCAAAGTGAGGGGCCTGGGAGACAGTAAGCTTTATTAGAGAATGGATAACGGAAAGAGACACGAGTTAAACATGATGGAAAGAGAAAATTGGTGAAGTCCAGCAACTTTTGAAATACATGATTGTCTCATCTTCATTGTTATCATCCATCCATCTAGCATCATCACCGTCATGACCATCTTCAGCACAAAGCTTACTTGGATCTCAGTGCCCTTTATATAACAGAGAGGGATATTCCTTTGAAGACTGAACCATCATTGACCTTGTTTTCCTGCTCGCTCTGGGATGTTGTGAGGTGCTGCCGTTTGTGACACCCTCCCTCTTATTTGTATGTGCGTAGGTTGAACCAGTGATAGAGAGGGGCCATGAGGGCCTGGTCCACCACATCCTGCTCTATCAGTGTAGCAGCACCTTCAACGACAGTGTTCTGGACTACGGCCATGAGTGCTACCACCCAAATATGCCTGACGCCTTCCTGACCTGTGAAACTGTGATTTTTGCCTGGGCCATTGGCGGAGAGGTAATGTTGATGATAATGAACAATTCATAGCCAGTTATTTGACTGTGCTTCTCCTGCATGTATGGTTGTAGTAGAAAAACACCACTGTCACACAAAAATACATGAAGATTTACTTGTATTTATACTTTTATAGGAAAGGATTCTTCCCTTAAATGACCATATTTCATCTGTGCTTAATGAATGGTATTGTTCCATACCTGAAGTGTCCTGTGGGAATGTTTGGGTTTGAGAATCAGAACTCTTAGGGACTTCCACAGGTTACTATTTCATGAAGTTTTTTTTTTTTTTTCCATATTTAGGGCTTTACCTATCCACCTCATGTTGGATTATCCCTGGGCACGCCACTAGATCCTCATTATGTGCTTTTAGAAGTCCATTATGATAATCCCACACATAAGAAAGGTAAGATCTTTCTTTGTTTTCAACGGTCAGTTTTCAAATGTCATGTGACTATTGTCTGTAACATAGTTGAAGTGAAATATGGAACTCTGTATTAGAAAGTGTTAACCTGTACAGTTGTCATCAAAATGAAGATGCTTTTTGAAGCCAAACAGGAATTCTGCCATTCAGAATTACACTAGGACAGTAGCTGTGACCCAGCGGCGTCTAGACAAATGGGCATATATATATGGTCACAAATCCTAAGAATACATTCTCATATTTCCCACCAGGCAGTAGGAAAATGGAAGTTCCTTTTGTGATATAAATTAGTTCCAATTATATGTGGTGCTTAAAATAATTTTCCCTCCCTCTCTCTGTTCCTCTCTTCCCCTTTCCCTCTCTTATGCAGACAAGAGATCCATTTTGAGTGTCTTCCTCAATTGCCCTCCACCTCATTTTTTTGAGACAGGATGTTTGAGACAAGTTTAAATGAGAATGACACCCATAGGCTCATTTAAATACTTGGTCCCCAGGTGGTAGAATTATTTGGAAAGGATTGGGAGTTGTTGCGTGTTGGAGGAGGTGTGTCACTGGAGGTGGGTAGACTTTGGAGCTTTAGAAGCCCACGCCAGTCATTCTGAGTTAGCTCTTTTTCTCATGTTTGTTGTCTCAATATGTAAACCCTCAGCTATTTCTCTCCAGTGCCATGCCTGCCTGTCACCATGCTCTCTACTGTAATAGTCATGGACTAACCCTCTGAAACACATAGTAGAGTCAATGTGAGTTCTCCAATGAAAGTAATCTTAGTTATTTTAATCCACAATGTTTCCACAAACACCGAAAATCAACTATGTGCTTGTTCTGTGCTTGAAGTTTAATATGAGTGAAAAAGATACTCTCTCACTCGTAGAAGTTATAGTCTTAGCTGTGTATAGTGGTGCATGCCCATAATCCCAACACTTGGGGCCTGGGAGAAAAGAATCAGGAGTTTGAAGCCAGTTTGTTCTACATAATGAGACCCGGACTCAAAACAAAACAAAATGACACAAACCAAACTTACAGTCTGGTAGGAAAGGGAAACAATTAAAATAACATTATATGTTTCTGCCAGTTGATTCAAAAGGGATGTATCTGACAGTATGAGAGTATTTAATTGTTGACCCAATTGAGTCAGATGGATGTGGTGGAAGTCTATAAAGTTTTCCTTGTAAAAACAGATTCTTCATAGATATATGTCGAGGTACCTCTGGGAAAGGTTTCAATTAATCAAATTAATTACAGGTTTATAGCATCTGGGTCACATGTTCTCCCTCCCTTCAGTGACATGTCATGGCAAAGAATGTATTATTTGTCTTTTGTCTTTTAACTCCACAATGCCCACCACATAACTGTTCACATATCAACCCTTAAACATCTGATGAGTTTGTTAAGGATGAAGAGAATGTTAATAGACTGTATAGAGTTAACTTTTAGTAGTTTTCTCTATCCATAGATGATTTCTAAGATGAATGGTTTATACCTGTAAGAGTAATATGTCACCCCAAAACAATATGAAATAAAATTTCTATGGTATTCAATCTTATAATGAATGACTTGAACATTTTTGTTCTGCCATTGTGTTAGATAATTGTGAAACATCTCCACCAGATAACTCAAAGATATCCTCCATAGCATGTTGTGTGGGTCTACAATGATCACAGACAATCTGGTGACTTCTCTTCACAAAGCTAACTTTTGTCTTCCAGTCATTGCTGCCTGCATTCCTTTTCCTCATGGGATTTTAATTTCCATTAAATAAACCCATGAATGGCCCATTTCAGATGAATGTGAAAGCTTTTTTTTTTTTAAAGTATTCCAATTCACTTTTTGTTATTTGCTGTTGTTACAGGCTTAATAGACAGTTCTGGGCTGAGGTTTTTCCATACCACGGATATTAGGAAATATGACGCAGGAGTGATTGAGGCTGGCCTCTGGGTGAGCCTCTTCCATACAATCCCTCCAGGGATGCCTGAGTTCCGTTCTGAGGGTCACTGCACTCTGGAGTGCCTGGAGGAGGTAAGCTGTGTCACGGCTCTCAAGCTGCCATCTCCAGATTAGCGCATGGTCTTAGTTATTGTGTTGTCAACGTTTCCTTGAATGTGTACGATGCGTTCGCTGACAGCATCTTGTAAAGATGTTGGTGTAATTCCAGTAGAACCTTTGACTGTCTCTGTTAACTCTCAAAGGCTGGAAGAGAAGAATGATGGGGGCGGGGGGGGGGCAGAAATGCTGAGGTGTCTTCTCCTTTCTTGGCTACTTTGGTTCCTACTTTGGGCATTTGATGACTTTTCTTCATTTGTCTAGTTTCTTTTTCTTTTTACCATTTTGCCTGTTATTTCTGCTCTTTTCCATTGTTCACTTTGGCTTTTCTCTTTTCCTCTGCTTTGTAGTTTTCTTCTTTTAATAAGAACAAGCAATGTGAAATAGATGATGCCAAAGGGAAACCGGGAACTGTAGGCATTTCATGACCACTCTCATTAACAGTTTTTCTCTTGAATCAAAGTATTTCAATGTGGATCATGTTATTTCTGAAATACAGGATTCTGTGATTGTTCCCTGGCAAAATGGAATGATTATGTTCTGCTGAGTCATTTAGACCCTGATTCAAATCACCATGACAACACACATATCAGCTGTAGAACCTGGGTGAATCATTTAATCCCACTGGGGACGACGTCCTTTTCTATCTAGGAAAGTAGGCACAGGTTCTCCTTGTGAGAGTTTGCATTTTCCCGTTATTGACCTGCTGCTGCGGTCTTTTCACGGGACCATTGTTTGACTCTTCACCTCCCAATGGAAGTGAAGAGAAAGCCAAGCTCACCATGGCCTGATACCTGTCCCTTCGTTCTCCTGGTAAATGATGAGCACAAAGACAACAGTCTACTATCCAAATTCAAAGTATTTGGCAGCTCAGGCTTTTACTTGAATTGCTTCACCTTTTTTTGTCAGTTATACTTCAAGTATGTCTGAACTGTCTGAGCATGCCTTTGATGGGCTAATCGGGTTCTCCTCGCTGTCCCACAGGCCCTGGGAGCTGAGAAGCCAAGTGGAATCCACGTGTTTGCAGTTCTTCTTCATGCTCACCTGGCAGGCAGAGGCGTCAGGCTGCGTCATTTTCGAAATGGGGAGGAAATGCAGTCGCTGGCTTACGATGATGATTTCGACTTCAATTTCCAGGAGTTTCAGTATCTGAAGGAAGAACAAACAATCTTACCAGTACGCATGAGTGGTCTTTTTCAGGGACTATTGTGTCTTGAAGTTTATCTCCCAGGATGCAGTAGGGATCCTGCTAGCCAAGAGAATTGCTCATCAAGTTCATAGTCTAAAAGCCACCCACTGTGGGTGTTGCATACATCAGAGGGAATGCGTTTGATCTTCTTCCCAAACTGGAAACTCACTTTTCCTACCATCCCCTGGAGGCAATGCAAGTTCTTGATTAAAGAAAGAAAGAAAAAAACAAAACAAAACAACGGAAGAGCACATGTTCAGATCACTGACTAGTGATTCTTTGGGTTGCAATTATGATAATGGTGAAATTGCATGTTATGATATGTTTTCTTGAAGAGGGAACACATTTTACTACTTTCTTTTTTGTGAAAAATGAACCTAGGATAATCCTTCCACCAGAAGAGCAGGGCTGGAGAAATGGCTCAGTGGTTAAGAGTCTTGCCGTGCAATCATGAGGACTTGCCTTCAAGTCCTCAGCAACTTTGTAGAAACTGGAAGTAGCCTTGCATGCCTATGACTGGTATATTGGGGGACAGACCTGGGAGCTGGAGGACAGATGCACACATGTCACACATACACACCCAAGCAAAGTTATTAGACATAGGTAATTATCCTTTGCTTTATGAGCCAACTTGTAGCAGCTCTTGGGGTTAGAGTGTAAGAAGAGAATTATATGTCTTACAATAGTGAAACCTTTCATTTTTCTTTAATTTTATGAAGCATTGTCTCCCTTCAGATATTGTCCTATGCCCATCAGGCTCAGTAGTCACACCATTTCCTATCCTTAAATAGATTACTAAAAATTAAATGTTTACACAATTTGTGAAATGACAGTGGCATACGAGTTTTCTCTAGGTGAGTGAGGCTTGCAGTAGAATGTTTTAGATGGAGTGAACTGTCAAGAAAAAAACAAAATGTTGGAAGAGAGTGTGAAAAAAGAACTAACTAATGAAGAGAAAGGGGACCTATTTTCTTTAATGATCACACTTTACTCATAGCTCTGACTCATTATTCCTTTTGGAAATTTTTATACACCTTGACAGACATAAGATACGTTGAGAAAGAGTGGTTTGTTGTTATTCTTTCTATACTACTAGTGCATCACTGTCTAATGGGTATGCTATGATTAGGGCCATATGCAAGCTGAGATATTGATCTTCAGGTGCAGGGAGGAAAACCTGGGACTAGTGCCAGGGATGACTCCAGGCCATGAAGAGTTGTTCTGTGCACTCAATAGGATGCTTTTTTTCCTTCTTCTCCTGGGACCTGAGAATCAAACTCAGGCTGTTACTAGCATGAACCTTTATCCATTGAAACATCTCACTGGCCTTTTAAATCTGCTCTCAAAAGTTAGATTCTTATGCAATTTGTGAAATGACACCAGCAGAAATATCTTATCTACATGGTGGAAAGCTATAAAAATATCATCATTCTTCACGTCTGCTGTAACATTCAAAATGTTGGAAAGCACTAAAACAATTAATTACTATTAATTTATAAGGAAATAAGAACATAACTAAAGATGTTTAAGGATGATCATGGATGCCTAAGTAATCACAGTAGGATCTTGACTAATGTTTCATTAAATAACTCATCTCTACTAAAGAATGAATACTAATTATGTCATTAAATCTTCTCATAAGAGCCTTGCAAAGTGCTGATTTTAATCACTATGCTTGGATGAACACATTGTGTCCAGAATTGTTCAGTTTCTTACCTAGGTGTCGTAGGTGCCAGACTATTGTAGAGTCTGATGTGAATTTAGAGAGCCCTCCTGTTTGCTTGCTTGCTGATTATGTTAACACACTGGAGTTAAGCAAATCAAAGTCTTCTGAATCCAACTGCCTGATGCTTTCCCTCATGCAGTAACTATAAACTGCTGGTCTAATGATATATTAGATAAACAAAATGACCTCAAACTTTAACCTGAAGACTTTTGCTTTTGTTTTAGGGAGATAACCTGATCACTGAATGTCGGTACAACACCAAGGACAGATCTGGCATGACTTGGGTAAGAAAATATTATTCTTAAAGTTCATTTAAAGAGAAGAAGAAATAACCTTTGCTTTTAAAGACCAAAACTAAAATGCAAAGTCCGTTTCTATATTGAAACAAAACTCTGAAAGTCTTCAGCATGAAGCATCACAGAGGTGAAGCAAAAGCTGTGCTAGTGTTTTATCAGACTTCAAACCCTGATGGAACTGCAATAATGACTATGCTTGTAATTTATTGGTGCTTCAGGAAATCTACCCTTCCTTATCTTTGTCTGACCAGATAGACAAGGAATTATCTTGTCTCTACATTACTTGGGTCTGCCTGGATGTTTACTTAATTAAATCCACTTCAAAAGGAAGAATGAAGTACATGAACTCAGAGCTTCTGACCCAAAAGGAAATCTGGTCCCAACAGAATTACTGGGGACTTCTGCCAAACTCTGAAGAAATAGATATTTCATGCCTTTCTCAGTCTCTGCTAGGAACATAGATAGAGGTCATCTCCCACCAGCCTATTTTATTAAGAGAACACAATCTTCACTCTAAAACTGTATACAAGGCATGAAGTAGGCCAATATGCACTGTTGGCAAAATATTGACAAATTGCCTCCTGTTTTATATGTAAATCTGTTATAACCGGTTAGAGTTTAGATATATAAAGCTGAAAAGTCAGAAAATATATCCTACCAATTAAGAGGTTGAAGGAAAAAGATACAATTTATCTAGAAGAGGCAGGGAAAACCCCCTAAAACTTAAGACTATCATAGGGGGGAGAAAAAAAGGCAGTAGCCAGGAATAGGAAGGAACTGCCTTACCTAGATCAAAGTTAGCTATGGCCAAATCTGTAGCTAATAGTAAATCAAATGTTTAAAATATTTCTTTACATTTGTAAAGAATGTAGGGATTTTTTTAATCACTGTCTTTATTGGGTGTTATGATGAAACTTCATTCTGTCTTATTGTAAAAGAATGAAAACAGAATTAGAAATATCAAGAAGGAAAAGGTAAAAGAGTAAAATACATCCAAACCTCTCCAAGTTTATATTTTAAAGTAATTGCAGTTTAACATCAAAGAGTAATCTTGAAGTTAAATAATCGAAAATAAGAAGTTATATAGAAATAAAATCCAACATTAGATATGGTTAATCTTGTAGATAAAAATATAAGTATTTGTGGGAGACAATAACTATCAGCTAGAGAATTTAAGAGACACTGTTGTGGGAGGCCAGCTCCCACCTTTTAAAGGGTTCCTATGAGGAGGAGAGAGGGATAAGAGACTTTTAGATAGAAAGATAGCAGAAAGGAGACAGACAGAAACACAGGATAGATTTCGGAGGACCTGGATCAAAACCCAAATGTCCCTCTTCAAAAGGGCTTTTAATAACAATGCCAAGGGGCAGGGCAAAAGACCTCCCCTTTGCTAGATCAAAGTATACCACACACCCAAATGTAGACCCTTCCAAATACCTGGTAACCATGCCTGTGGTTAAATCATCCTCTTATACAGACCTGGTGGATAAAACAAGCTCAGATTCTCGGGCCTTGGGTAAGTTCTCACTAGGCAGCTGCTGTGGGTTTCTACATCTCTCCCTTCTTAATGTATTAAAGAGCCCTTCAGACTCCTCAGATAGACTATGTCTGTCTTAGGTTGTCTTTCTTCCCTAATCAGCCTTACTTGTTGTAGAGAAATGCTTTCCATCAAGTGTACTCTGCCTTAGGTTGGCAGGTAGAAAGAAGAATGTTACTCATCCCTGACTACCAGCCTCTGGCAGGGGGAAGTACAGAGTTTAACTGAGCTCTGAGGCAGGTCCCTACTAAGAGCTTGCAAATAGTTGGAACAACCACAGTAATCCCTAGAGCTGCCACATTGCCCAATAAAGGAGTAGAGAATGACCAAGATGGAATGTCCTTTTTGAATGGGTCTAAGATATCTGTATCAGCCTTTGCTGTGCCAAGCCCTTTTTTAAATCAATAAACTCTTGATGCAAACACATCAAACAAATCAATAAACTCCCAATGCAACTGCATCAAACTTAAAGATTCCCTTAACTTCACCAAACCATTGTTCATTAATATCAACAGATTAACATAATTCTAGTATGAATATTAGTATACATATTTACAATTCTTACAAACTTATATTAAAAACAAACTCTCTATAGGACTATTTACATTTTACAAACTTTAGCAAACATCTAAAAGAGAGCTCTTAACAGAACTATTTACACTTGCAACTTTTCTTCCAACAAGACAAAGAGTACATGAATTGTGAGCCACCACAGTTAAAATTGCTAGGTGAACTCAAAACTGTTTCATTTCTGAAGTTCAAAGTTCAAAAAGTCAGTTCTAATAAGTCTTGTAGTTCCCCTGAAAGTTTCAAGTAAGAGCCTAATTTGTCAGCAGCTCTTGAGTCTTTGAATCCAGCTCCCTCGACCTTAGTATTCAGTGAGTGCCACTGCTAGGGGGCTGTAACACTCAGGATGCCACTGCTCTTCCCCACCATCCCCAGCCACCTTCTCCGCCCAGTCTTCCCAGCCATTCTGGAGCCAGTGGAAGTGTGTCCAGTGGTAGATGGTCGTCTGGCCAAGGCTCAGTCCCTTTACCCAAATTCATTGCAGTTCCCCTGAATGTAACAAATGTTGCTGATTCTTCACTCTCAGCTACAGAGGCATTTTCAGTTAACTTTCCATAGGAGAGCTGCCCTAGGGCAAAGGTGGAATTACCATACTGAGCTGCCTCTCTGCTCAGCTAGTAAGTCAAGAACTGTCTCTTAAAGGAACCGTGCATTGATTTGCCACTAGCAATCAGAAGCTGTGTGGCTCTGGGCTCTGTTTCATTCCAGCTTTACAGTCTCAGTCCTTGAACACCAAATAGTGACAATACCTTTGTCCCAAACTCCTTCTCAGAAGTCTGGGGGACCCCCTTTATCTCCTACTTTCCCCAGACTGAAGGATGGAACATTCATGTCAGGAATACCAGTTTGGCTGCTCTCACTCCAAATCCTCTGGGAGAGTGTCAGCAGCTACAGTGTCATCAGAGCTGACTGGCATTCCTCTGTTCCATGCAGTGCACCAAGTGCTCAGGCAGCCATCAAGCTTTATTTGGTGACTGAGGGTACAATTTCCCCCTCTTAATTTTTTGAAACTGCATCTAAAACTGCCACGAGCTCTCTCAATGATGCCTTGTCCTTGATAGACTTTTATTAGCCCTATGTTTCCCTCTTTTGCATCTCAGGCTCAACCCAGGTTCTTTATTTGCCCTTAAGCTTTTTCCACACCCAAAGCAACTTCCTGGTGTCCCAACATCTCTCCCTTGCTGTGAGCCCTGATTTCTAAGGAGGGTCTCAAAGCAGCCTGACAAGTGGCATTAGCATTTTAACTGCCTCCTGATAGGCAAGCTTTGGTCATCCATTTCCAGGCCCCAGGAGGTAAGATTTCTAAGCTTTCTAACAAAGCTTGCAGAAAAAGTAACAACTGGGGCTGTACCAAGAGCAAGCTGTTTTTAACTCTTTAAACTGTTTAAGATGAATTGGGCCATGCATTCGCATGATATTTCCCTGCATGTCTTGCTACTCAATTACAGGGAACATTTGAAAGCCTTGCACCTTTCCCCTCTGCTTGCTGCCTCCCAAATACTGTCTTGAAGAGGAGACACAGTGCTAGCAGTGAGGATTTGCCATGTTTTGGAAGGTTTTTGTGCCAGGGAAATTATGGGTGATCTTTCTATTCTGACAGATGACCCCCTAGGTGAGTCTAATCCACCCCTACAGAAGAAAACGAGACCTGGGAAGGAGAAACTTGAAGTGCATCCAGTATTTGAGAAAGAGAAATTACTAAGTTTTTCAAGCACTTTAGTTCCTCCCTTGTCTCATCACAAGGCTTCTGTTCCTTAAACTCGGCTTGATGGCCAAGAGGGAGTGACTCTGATTGAGCAGTATTGTAAAAGTATTCTCATCTAGTGGCAGTTCCAGCAGAGGAGAAGGTTTCCTTCTGTCCATGTCCACCTCAGGAAAAATTCCCCCCTGCTGCTCAGGGATTAGATCTAAGCTGTCCTGAATTAATGCCAACAGGCCAACAGCTTCCACAGGAATCTTTTTCAGCCAATGCTCCTCATAATATTTTTGCATTTTGGCTCCAATTCTCTCCCAGGAGTCTGTGTCCAGAGTCCCATTGTTGGAAAACCAAGGACAGTTACCCTATGAACTCCAGGAACCTCTGTACTTGTTAACAATTCTGCCTTAACTCCCCTAGTTTTCAAACTTTTACAAGCAAATATACAAGCATCTGCCGACTATTTCCCTGCCCTATAGAAGATTTTCTTTCTCAGACTTCTAAGTCTGTGATGGCTGCTTGTTCCCGGATGCTATTTTCAGGTCCAGCACTAGGGAAATTCTACTCTTAGCCTAAGTTTCTTCCTACATAATGTTCCTATACCTAAACCCTATATATTTTTTTTTTACCTAATTTGATAGATAAAAATTAAGAGAGAGAGAGAGAAACAGAGAGAGATACTTGCTGCAGCCTAAATTTTTATAGACAGTTTTTGCTCACAAAGAATAAAATACCACAGCCTTAACCTTAATACAAAACCAGACATGGCCAACTTCTTCCCATGGTATTTCTGTACTCTCACTTACTTCTTCTGCCCCCAAGTCCCTAGTTCTGATGCAAAGACCTCCCCCTTGTTAGATCAAAGCACACCACACAGCCAAGTATAGACCCTTCCAAATACCTGATAAGCAGGCTCATGGTCAAATCATTCCCTTATGCAGCCCTCCTGGGTAAAACAAGCTCAAGTTCTTAGACCCTGAGTAAATTCTCACTAGGAATCCTCTGTGGGTCTCTACACACTGTTTTTATGTATAGAATGCTCAAAGTATACTACACATTTATATAAAAGATTCCTTCTGAACTCAGTATTGTGTATAACTTAATATACACCAATGAAAAAAATCAAAACCAAAAAATGGAAAAACTAAGTAAAATGAAGAAAAACCTACTTATAGTGGTCTATAAATTTATGTGATTCCAGTGAAGGAAATTTCATGATTTGGGGAGTTTGCTAACTAATAAACCTTTGCCTAGTCACCACTAAGAGCTTCTCTTTCTTCATTCTTGCAAAAATGTTTGCTGTTTTAGTTTTTACATGCATCAAAAAATATACTTGGAGGATCAAAGGGTCAAGAATAGGAAAGATGGCTAATGAGAGTCAGATGGGAAGTGAGCTAAATCAAACCTTATTTTACAGCTGTGGCAACTAATCCAGGGTGGTTTGTGTCCACAGTTAGAATTTCAGCAACAAACGTACTCATCCTACATCTGGAAATGTGGTTGTGGATAAGTCAGGGCATTTGGATAAATGAGGCATTGTGGGTGTTTTTATTTAATGCTGACCTGATCGACTGCTTATAATGAGAAAAATAAATTTGTCTTTTTATAATTTTCCCCCTTTCTGTTATTTGGATCATTTCTATCAATCGGTTTTAAAATTTATTAATTCTTCCCTGGGTTGGAGCAAATATGCTGTTGAATTCATCTTGTGGACTTTCAGCTCTTAAACATCCATTTTTCTGGGTTTTATCTTTCTTTTGCCACTCCTGTACTCTTGCCACATTTTGATCATATTTGCCTTTAATTGCTTGACTTCTACAGCCTTTGTCAATCCACATCTGTATCCTCTCACAGTTTGTGACTAGTGACATTTTTTTCTTGAGTAAAAATAACAGTTCACTGTTTACTTAATAATTTTTGTTGGAAAACTGGGCAGTGAAAATTGTTGAAGCAACTCTAGATTCCTCAGATACAGTGGAATATTACCCGCTTATAGTTAAAAGGTGTTACCCATTGCCACCGTGGCACATAGCTACTGATATTTGTAGTCCTAAAAATAATATAGAAAATTCGGGTCATCTGAGAAAACACTCCAAAAGTCCATGGGAGGGAGAGGCAAGAGGCTAAGGAATTCAAAAACAGCTTGAGCTCCATGAGACTCTCTCTCACCCTCATAACCCTGAATAATTCCAACAAAGTGATTTGTAACATGCAAACATCATCAGGAACCTCTGAAATGTCTACTGTGGCACAAATTTATATCAGATCAATAGAACTCTTCGGGACTTTAATAGATTATCTAAGAAAGGCACCCCTTTTTGTTTTTGCTTTGTTTGCATTAGAAAGGCACCCTTTAAAGAGATATAAATAATATTAATTTTTAATGTTGCAATAATTTTTGAAAGTTAAGAGTCCTTTAAGTTAATAATTTTCAAAAGAGGCAGAGGCAAAAGGATTGTGAGTTCAAGGCCAACCCTAGTAACTTAGTGGGACCCAGTATTAAAGCATTTTAAAGAGAGGCTCGGGATAGAGCTTAGTGGTAGTGGTTTGTCCACCAACTCTGAGACTTGGATTTGACCCTCAGGACCACAAGAAATAATAATAAGCTGTTACTTACAAATGATAAAGACCAAATGTATTTCAGAACTGGGGATCTGCATGACACTGTTGGCTTTGTGTTCTGTGTGTGAGAGCTGAGGGAAACTTTGCAAAATAAAACATCTCTATTTTCAGGGAGGATTAAGCACCAGAAACGAAATGTGTCTCTCCTACCTTCTTTATTATCCAAGAATTAACTTGACCAGGTGTGCCAGCATCCCGGACATCATGGAACAGCTGCAGTTCATTGGTGTGAAAGAGATCTACAGACCCGTCACGTGAGTGGCAGTGAATTATAGACTTCCAAGAGTGGGTCTCATCTCCATACTGAGACACTATGGGCTATTTTATGTGCTGCTCTTTTTAATTGCTTGTAACTCAGGAGACCAAGTAAGGATCTTGGTTGCTATGTCCAAGTTCCTCCAAAAACCCTTGGGATCATTGATAGCTGGATCCTAAAGGATCCAGCTGTTAGCTGTACTCTTGGATAAAGTTATTGCCAAGAAAGGATACAAAGGGAAATCAGCAAAGGAAAAGGCAAAGTTCAGAGCACCCAAGCTCCCAGAGGCCTCTCCATGTAGCCACACAGAATACCCACCCAATTGTGATAATGTCCCTACGGAGGTCTCCTAGATAAGCTCCATAGAGCAGATGTGCCTAGGCTTTTTACTGGAGATGCTCCTGTAGGGGCTGCCTGCCTAATGCATGCCCAATTTGCAGACTTGCCAATAGAAAGCAGGTGTTCAGCACAAAGCATATTGATTATAGTGCTGAGCCTTTTGATCATTTAGAGGAAGTTTTATATCAATCTAGGAAACTGACAACTATTTAAATTGCTAACCAAAAGTGAACCATGTGGTCAGGCTTTAGACAGGGTCTTCCTGCATGACTTGGGTTGACTTCCAATTTTTGATGCTCCTGCCTCTGCCTCCCAGGTGCTAGTATTCTGGTTATGTGCCTCCATGTTCGGGTAAGAAGCAAGCATTTATGAAGAGCAGTTTCAGACATGCTTTGTAAACACTGTATGATTGCATATCATAGAAACTAGAGTTTGGGGGGTGGTAATAGACAAACAGATGGGCATTAAATAGTATTGGTTGTTATAAAACAGTGAAAATAGTGAAGGGAATGTGCAACTGTTGCCAGCAGAAGACTCAAAACCTTTCTGGGAAGTAATATTTGAGCAGGGACCTACAGACTGAAGAGCCAACGATGGAAAGATAGGCAAAGATGTTGTATGCAGAGAAAAGAGTGATGTGTGTGTATATCATGAGCCTGCTGGGTTTGAGAATGAACAAGAGGATGCCTTTAGCTGGGGCAGAGCAGAGATTGGCAGAGACCAATGTGTGAGGATGTAGTGTCAGAAGTAGACTGGGCCACACAGGCCATTATGAGTAGTATGAAAAGAAGTCACCGTGGGATAGTGGCAGTCAATTTGGTGAGGGTGAGAAGGAAGGACCACAGGAGGATAAGATGGGGAAAGAGTACTGATCAGGAAATTACTGTGACTGTCCATTGAAAGCCAAGGGCACCTTGGACCAAGGCATGACATCATGCTAAGGATGCGTTATGGGAGATGCTGAAAAAGAGTTTATGTTCTCAGGAACAGTGACACAAAGCGTAAGGATGGTTGGCAGAAATTTATGGATGATGTAATGTGTCTTAACAGGAAGATCTTTCTGATAATTAAGACTTTACAAAATGAAAAAGACTGATATAATTGGACAAACATATACACAGATTTTTGAGAGTGCTTTTAAGAATAGGATAAGAAAACCATTTAATGAAGACATTATAAAATGTGGATAGTCAAAGAAAACATATAATAATTTATGTTCCAAATAAGCCAAGAATTAGAAATTGTAAACTAAGTGCTTTCTTGTTCATCGTGTATATATATATATGCTTTCCTCTGCTCCTTTCTAAGCCCTGCTGTGACCATGAGTGCAGAAGGCACCATCTAGTCATCACTAAATACTGATCACAAAGCACTTATGTGAACTGAGCAGCAATTACTAAGTCTGTTCACATCCATGAGTTAGTTTAACCTTCTTGCACATGATCCCAGTTGGGGAGGAGGGCATGGGGCTAAATTTCCATAGGGGAGAAAACAGAAACTAAGATTAGGAAACTGCTTGACACTGCACAGTATATCATAAATGGGAAAATTAGGGTTCACAATCCAATATCCTCTTCACAACCTATGCATGGAAGAATTTTCCAGAAGTTCAACCTTTCAAAATGAAAGTATGATGTGATTAGACAAAAGTACATAGGGTTAATAAACTATTAATAGACATCAAAACAATACATGAAATGTAATTCTAAAATACACTAGGACAGGGCACAGTGAGGAGACTCAGTGGGAAAAGGCACTTGTTACCAGGCAAGTGAGGACCTAAGTTCAACCCCTGGAAACATAAGGGTATGATTTGTTTGAATATTTGGATGGTTGGATTTTGGCACACATGTGTGTGTGTGTGTGTGTGTGTGTGTGTGTGTGTGTGTGTGTGTGTGTGTCTTTGTGTGTGTGTGTCTTTGTATGTGTTCATGCATGCATGTTTATGTATTGGAATGCTGGAGATCAAACTCGGAGCCTGGCACATGGCAGGCAAGTGATGTACCATTGAGTTACACCTCTAGCTTCCCAAATATTCCTATCATATTGCTCCTTACCTCAAGTAGATTTTCCTCTTTAGAATATATTCTACACCCCAAACAGGAAATTTCCTAATTGTGTGATTATTAGCAAAAAATGTAAAAAAAAATGACTATATGTTTACAAATGAATAGATGTACCTTGCTTCATCCTTTATGATCACCATGGACTGGGCATCTCTACAGATTCCTTTCACCGCCTGATGGGCTTTGCCAGTGTCCTTAGTTTCTATCTTCCTGGGAAATGCTACATTTGTGCCTTTGTCATGTGGAATTACAGGAAGAATTACTTTCCAAAACTAGGTTAACTGTGGGCTATCATTACCCAGAAAAATAGTATTTTGTTTTCTTGTATTATAGCTGTATAATTTTTCTAATCTATTTAGAATTTTCCCCGGATGTTTTCTCCTTTTTTATATAAGAAAGTATTTTCTTTTTAAGAGGCAAAGGCTGAGATACAGTGTTTTCCAGACTGGCCACATACTCATGACAATTCTCCTGTCTCAGTTTTTCAAGTTATGGACTTAATAGAGGTGAACCTCCAAACCTGGCTTCAAATATTTTCTTTCACTGTTGACACTTCTCAGTATTCATCTTCCACACTTTATCTATTATAATTTATTTTGTCTTTATTTCCTTTGCTCTGTAGTCTGCCTCCCATCTTATTCTATTGCTTTATTACCTTGAACTTGAGTTTTTAGTCATTAAATTAAATTCATTAAATCCATATTATTAAACCCACATAATTAAACTCTAAGAGGAAACAATTTCTGTAACTTTCTCCAGTTTCATTTGTTCCTACTTTCTTCTGAGATCAGTTTTCCTGTATTTTTAAAGATTTTTTTTATTATGTTTAATTATGTGTATGGGGGGTGGGTATGTGCACATGTGTGTTTGTGCACACAGAGGCCACAGGTGTCAGATACCTGGAGCTGGAGCCATAGGCAAGCTCCCTATCGGTGCTTGGGTGCTGGAAATTGAACTTGGGTCCTCTTGGGAGAGCAATCAATGCTCTTGACCACTTAGAAATCTCTACAACCCCTTTTATTCATATTTTATAAGTATTTAAGTTGTACCACGTGATTGTCTTCAGCCTTGTGGTTTCATGGGTCCCATCTCATTTCTTGCTTATTCTGAGGGCTTCTGTCCAAACCTCATCACACATATTTGAACCTAGGCTTTCTTCTCACCACACCACAGCTGGAGGATTCGATGAGTCATTTTCTGCACACTTATTTTGAGAGGAAAGGGCTGTAGGGTGGGACTGGACGCTCCCTGGTTGAATGTGTGTATTGTCCCTGCCTCGGATTTATTGCTGCTGTTAGGAGCCACCTTCTCTCTGGTGGGCTGAGTCATTTTTGTAGAGGAATGTGTCAGCTTTGGAAGGGGATGTCCAGTCTCTTGCCACCCTGGAGACTGTCTTCTCTCTATGAGACTCCATCTGGCTGTGTTCCTTCCAGTCATTCAACAGGGTTGTGCTTTACTGAGACAGATTTCCCATTGTCCTTCTTCAACAATCAGAAGATTACGACGCCGTGTTACATTTTGTTTTGTTTTCTTCTTGATGATCTGCTTCCAGATGCTGTGTTCACCTTTTATGTCAATTGCTTGGGGCATAATTTAAAATTAAGTGTACCTATCTTTAATGAGATCTTCATAAGATTTCATCAATGTCACACCTATCATATTCAATCAAAACATAAAACCCCCCTCCTCCATAAAGTTCTGGGAAGCTGAAAATCTGCTGTATGTCACTATGTTAATTTTTTCTTTCCTGAATTTTATATAAGTGTGGCTGTAGCCTGTGCTTGTGTCTGGACCCTTTATTAATAATGATGCTGGGATTCACTTGTATTTGTGGCTGTTTCACTCAATGCCTTTTTCTCGCTGAGCAATATTCCCCTGGGTGGGTCCACTTCCTATAGGCTCATCACTGTGGAAATACAGCTTCAGTGAGATGCAAACATTCAGACCACAGCAAGGGTACTAGGACCACCCCTGATGTTTCTAGTTTGTCCCTCCATTGTTTGGCATTTTACATTCCCAGAACACTCTACAGTTAATCTTCAGAATGACAGCAAGAAACTTCCCTTAAGTCATCTGTAAATGTGTGTGATTTCTTTTTACTTTTATGCACATTTCATATATTATCAAACTGAGTCACATATTACTGGATGGTAAGAGATCTTTATATTATGGATATTCATCTCCTGTTAGATACTGAGCCATGGATAATTTCTCTCAATCTATAGCTTGATTTTCATTGTTTTACTGTTGACTGAGGTTCCTTCTGTCATTTTGTCTTTTGAAATGCCCTCCAAGAAATCTTTAAAAAACTATACATTTATTATTAATGTGTGTGTGTGTGTGTGTGTGTGTGGTGTGTTGTGGTATGTGTGTGTGTGTGTATGTGTGCTGTGTGTGTATATATATATATATATATATATATATATATATATATATGTGGGGTGTGTGTGTGTGTGTGTGTGTGTGTGTGTGTGTGTGTGTGTTTAGGACAACTTGCAGGCGTCAACTATTACCTTCCACCATGTGTTCCCCAGGGATAGAATTCAGATTGTAGTTGGCATCTACCTGCTGAGCCATCTTGCAGGCCTAAAAA